CAAAGAAGAACGAGGGCAGTCGTTCAGACGAAAATCTAACCCTAAAACGGATCGTACTTTCCTTTATATCCCAGAGTATGAGTGTGAGTAACATCTGGCAGAGAGGTTGTGCGACCCCGAAAACACACAAGAGGTTTTAACACAGAGGTCAGAACAGGTGACGGGGTCTGGGAACCGTGATTCTTATCTCTTGTTTCTGCCACTGACCAATGACACGGCTGGGTTTGTTCTCAGAGCAGGAAGCTTCACCCAAATGGTGGAAAGTGCTTTTTAACTCTCAGCCAGACTCTAGTTACTATCACTCTCATTTTGGAGGCCGGTCCTTGTCAGGACGCCACTTTTCTCTAGGTTTGGGTGCTTCTCATTTCCTGCTCTGATTGGCAAACGTTCAAGTCTGGACGAAACGGGCCAAAGCTCAAACACACGAGAGAAAACGGCCGAAGGGAGAGGTAAATAAAATGTAAATAAAAAGCCAATAAAATGGGAGGACATGTGGGTTTTTTTGTCCTCTGGGGGGAAAAACATTGTGCCGGGCGGCTGCCTCATTAAAAAAAGTAGAACAAGTTTTAAGAAATGAGCTTCAGAGTGACAGAGAACTGCCACTTTTAGCCGTTTCTTTAAAAGATGGATGAAGCCTGCTGGCGGGGCCTCTCAGGATGATGCTCCATCCAACGCAGAGAGACTCAGACGTCTACTCTACTAATTCGCTTAAATCTCTAAATGATCGGAGGCCTTTTCGCTCTGAAGGGTTCCCCTTCACACAGCAACATGGTGAGCGTGAATCAAAGTGGAAAACGTCACAAAATCAAGTCACTGCTCCCTTCGGCTCAGAGTCTCTCCGACTTTCTATCCAAATCCCCCCTAAAATGACGTCTGGTGAGAGATTAGAAGCCAACGATAGTGTTTACTAACACTAATTTAAGTGGGTGAAAAGGGGCGCAGACCTGAATATGTCCCTCAGGAGGCTCCATCCATATTTTAGAAATGTTTGCGTGGCGGAGAACGGACGGCGGACGAACCAAGAAATCAACGAGATTCTAACTAATCAAAGGTTCCATTTAACACCCTTTGTTAAAAAATATCAAAAGTACTGATTTTTTAAAATCATATTTTCCTTGAATTGGATGCGCTGATTAAATCTGAAGTTCTGAGTCTCAGATTTAAGTCTATTCGAAGACACCGCAAGAGAGGATTTTTTTAGAAATGCTTTCCTTCCAGGGACAAGGCCCCTGGTGTTTTTTAGAGTGGAATAATAAAGGGTGTTAAAGCCTTTGGCGGGTGGCGTGCGTGAGC